TTTTTTTTTTTTTTTTTTTGGTTGCTAGAAAATTAGTTATTTTTCAAGAAATGATTTCCTTTATAGAATAAACGCCCTTAGAGTTCAATTTCTATCAGTTTCACTCTAATTTTATATTTTTTGGGACCACTTGCTATTATGTTTTTTCAGGAAAATGTGTAATGCTCATTGATTACCAATGACGAAATGTATCAAGATATCAACCAGCTTAAAGATGCATGTTGTTTGTATATTAATGACTTTAATGTAGTATTCCGTGAACCATTGAGTCTTTGAAACAAGTTGCACCCGAAGTCAGTAGGCCAAAGGGCGTCAAGCAAAAAAAGTAACTTTACTCTATTAATATATGCTGCTGCAATTTTGTTTAGATCATATTGAATATCTCCCAACCTCATTTTGTGGTTGTAATTGCCAAAGAAAATACAGTCATGTGTTTGGAAGGAAGGAAAATATCGTTTTCCATGTAAATTATTTTTCTGAAAAAATACTTCAGAAAAACTAAGTGATTTTTTTTCCTTATTTTTTTCGTGTTTGGTTGGTAATTTGAAAAAAAAAAATTAAATTGTAAGTGAATTATTTTCACATTGTTAATATATAAAAATTGAACTCTTAAATTATATAAGTAAATACAGAGTATAACTTAAATCATTTACGTTAAGTTTATCATTGTATAGGGTTGTGATGACCCAAAAGGTCATCACTTGTTTTTAAAAAAAAACAAATTTTGTGTTCCGATGCTTTAAAAAAAAACTCTTTCTCTCTCACCTCGATTTACGTACGCAGACCGGACGCGTAGTCGGAAAGCCATTATGTGAAAATCTGTGAAAAATGATGAATTTTGCCTTTAAAATGAGTTTAAGTTGACTTCGGTCAATATTTTGGGTAAACGGATCCGGACCCGTTATTTGATGGTCCTGAAGGGTCCGTAGGAAAACATGGGACTTGGGCGTATGCCTGGAATCGAATTCCGAGGTCCCAAGCCCGAGAAATGAATTTTTGAAGAAAATTATTTTCTAGAATTATTTATGAGTTTTGGAAATGAAATGTGTTTGAAATTTAATGGTATCGAGCCCGTATTCTAGTTTCGGAGCCCGGTATAGGTCTTATATGTGATTTAAGTTGAGTCTGTGAAATTTGATAAGAAACGAACTTGAAATGACGTGAATCGGACCTTATTTGAGAAAATTGGAAAAATTTTGATGTTCTTAAGTAATTTCATGATTTTGATGCTAAATTCATAGTTGTTGATGTTATTTTGGTGATTTGAATGCACAAGCAAGTCCGTATGATATTTTTAGGTTGGTGTGCATGTTTGGTTTGGAGCCCCGAGGGCTCGGGTGAGTTTTGGATAGGCCACGGAGTGGAATTTGGACTTAGGATGCTGCAGATTTTAGCTGGTATTTTGCAGGCCTGCAGGCTTTGCATTTGCGAAGCCTGGCTCGCAAATGCGAGATTTATGTCACAAATGCGAAAGAGCCCAGGCCGGCATTTCCTCGCAAATGCGAGGTACTCATCGTAAATGCGATGCCTCCAGTTAAGCCAGTCATCACAAATGCGACATACTTATCGCAAAAGCGACTTCGCAAATAGGAAAGTCCCTTCGCAAATGCGAGAATAGCAGACTTCTGGGTTCGCAATTGTAATACCTGCAACCTGTAAATTCATAACTTAGACGCATTTCAACCATTTTTCACACTCTTTCAAAATCAAAACACTCTTGGGCGATTGTTCAAAGATAACTTCTCTTCCTAATCGATTGTAAGTCATTTCTAACTCGATTTCTTCAATCTTTAACATCTTTTCACATGATTTCAACTCAAAATCAATGATTTTTATGGGAGAAATTGGGTGTTTTGGGTAGAACCTAGGATTTTCAAATTTTGGGAATTTGGACCTCGATTTGAGGTCCGATTTCAAAACAAATTATATATTTGGGTTCATGGGGAAATGAATAATCGAGTTTTGGTTCAAACCTCGAGTTTTGACCATGTGGGCCCGGGGCAATTTTTGACTTTTTGGGAAAAACTTTAGAAAGCTTATTTTCATGCATTAGAATTGATTCATTTAACATTTATTGATGTAATTAAGTAACTTGTGACTAGATACGAACGGATTGGTGGTGGAATCAAGAGGTAAAGCGGTAGTTGAGACTTGAATTGTGTTCGATGCATCGAGGTAAGTGTTTGGCCTAACCTTAGCTTGAGGGATTAGGAGTTGTGTCCTATTTGCTATGTGTTATTTGTTGAGTACGACGTATAGGCATGGTGATGAGTATTTATATGTTGGTGTCTAGCATGCCCGTGAGTCTTAAATTAAAATCGTTGTGTTCTTAATAAGTACTACGGATGCCTAAGTTGTTGATTTTCTGTATTGGATAAGAATTATGATTATTCTCGTGGAAGTTGCTTATGGTTAGGTATTGGTGCTAGTTGAAGTTTATTTTGTAAAGATAAATATTGGAACAAGTTTGGTTATAGTTGGCTCCCTTGCCGGGACGTATTTACTTATATTATCGATTCCCTTGTCGGGATAGTGTTGTTTCCTTATTGTTCCCTTGCCGGGACTTTTTTTGTGATTGGTGTTGAATTGTATATTGGGATCGGGTTGCACGCCGCAACAATATTATATTTGAATCGGATTGCACGCCGCAACAACATTATAATTGGATCGGGTTGTATGCCGCAACAATGATAAATGATATGGACCGGGTTGCACGCCACAACAGTGCTTTTATGACTTGGATCGGGTTGCGCGTCGCGACAATAAATGATAAAAGTGGTTATTGATTGGTTACAGTTCCCTTATTCTTTCCACCGCAAATTTTAGATTGTTCTTTATGTTTTTTTTTCTCCTGAGTTACTGTTGGTAAATGATATTTCCCCGTAGCATGCCCCCGTCCATCCTTAATTGTATATTTCTATTTTGTTTTCCGCTGTATATGATATAATTGCACAGGTTTATTTGGTAGTCTAGTCCTAGCCTCGTCACAACTTCACCGGGTTAGTCCAAGCACTTACCAACACTTGGGGTCGGTTGTGTTGATACTATACTCTACACTGTGTGCAGATCCCGGAGCAAAAACATTCGGACCTTAGCTTGGGTGGCTGCCTTCAGTCCAGTTGGAGATTCTGAGGTAGTCCTGCAGGCATCCGCAGGCCACGGCGTCTCCATCTATCCCTTCATCCTGTTTCATATACTTATTTCAGAAATAGTGTATTAGCTATCTTTCAGACCTTGTTTGTAGTAATTCGAGATTGTCTGTGAAGCGTGACACCAGTTCTGGGTAGATTTTTGCTTAAGACGTTGTATTGAATATATATTCAAATAGTTTATCGTTTCTTCCGTTTGCTTTAAATTTCCGCGGTCTATAACTGTTGATTCACACTTGTTAAGGAATTAAAATGGGAAATAAGTAATTTGTGCAAATGGTCAGCTTGCTTAGCTTCCACTAGTAGGTGTCATCACGTCTCCTGAGGGTGGAAAAACCGGGTCGTGATAAGTTGGTATCAGAGCTCTAGGTTACATGGGTCTCACAATTCATAGACAAGCTCAGTAGAGTTTGAGGGATCGGTACGGAGATGTCTGTATTTATCCCCCAGAGGCTATAAAGTTAGGAAAAACTTCACATTTATTCTTTCCTGCCGTGTGGTTTGGTTTCTGAATGCTAATTGAATTTCTACTCTGTTCTTTTGCAGATAGCGAGAACATGCGCTTCCTCATCCACCGATCAGTAGCCCGAGCCCCCAGCAGCAGCTCCTACGAGGGGCAGAGGGTGAGACCGAGGTCGTGCTAGAGGCCAAAGTAGGGGTAGAGCTCAGCCTAGAGCAGTAGCACCAGCGGCGGAGCCTCAAGTTGACTTTGATGACGAGGTTCCGGTCCGGACAGTTCCGGTGTGCCCAGCTTAGTCCTAGAGGGGTTTATTGCTACCCTAGTACTCCAGGATGCTCTGGTCCGTCTAGTGGGCCTTATGGAGAGTGTCACCCGGGTAGGCTTGCTTCCTGTAGCACTAGCCGTCTCTCAGGCTGGAGGAGGAGCCCAGACTCCTACTACTCGCACTCCGGAGTAGATGGCTCCCAAGTTTCAGACTCCGGCAGCTCAGCCAGTTGGAGCAGTTCAGCCGGGTGTGGTAGCTCAGATCGGTGATGGATCAGCTATGTCTACCGATGTTTTGTGGAGATTGGACAAGTTCACCAAGCTCTTCACTACTACTTTCAATGGTGCATCTTCTGAGGATCCCTAAGATTATCTAGACAACTGTTATGAGGTTCTCAGGAACATGGGGATAGTGGAGACCAATGGGGTCAACTTTGCTACTTTTCGCTTGTATGGATCCGCCGAGACTTGGTGGAGAGATTATTGTTTGGCTAGACCAGTCGGATCACCAGCTTTGACTTGCGAGTAGTTTACGCAGCTATTTCTAGAGAAGTTTCTCCCGATCACTCAGAGAGAGATCTATCGGAGGCAATTTGAGCGTCTCTAGCAAGGTTCTATGACTATCACTCAGTACGAGACCAGATTCATTAACTTGTCCTGTCATGCTCTTATCATACTTCCCACCGAGGGAGAGGGTGAGGAGGTTCATTGAGGGACTTATTCAGCCTATTCGACTTCAGATGGCTAAGGAGACATGGAGTAAGATTTCTTTTTAGGAGGCGGCCAATGTGGCCAAGAGAGTTGAGATGGTTCTGTCACAGTGGGGTGGTCAGGGGTCTGACAAGAGGCCTCGCCATTTAGGCAGATT